GGCAGTTCTGGTCCTTACTGAGGAAGACAGAGGCAAAGAAGTTATTAAATATGTTGGCTTTGTCGTCTGGCGTGACAACCAGATTCCCCGTCTTGTCCTGCAAGGGCCCCACGTTTCCTGGGGCCTTCTTTCTTCTCCCTATGTACTTAAAAATTCGAAGTGCTATACCCATTTTTAAAGTGCTGTAAAGCCATACATTTCTCTTAATTCACGGTAATAAAGCACTTTACATGGTGAAAAAAGCAATTTCTGTACACACCTTGTGGTTGCGGTTTCTCTGTCTCTGAGCTACATGCCAGCCTCCCACTCCTCTCTCACCCCAGAGGAGGGATAGAGTCGGCTCCTGTCCACACCCCTGCTCACTGAGCTCTCTAGTGACAAGTCACAGTTGTGCAGGTCTGAAACAGCATTAAGCCTTAACCTGTGAACGCTCTGAAATTGTTCTAACTTTGATGGGATAACGTTCCCCAGATTTAAAATGTTTTAAAGGTGACCTGTAACCGCAGCCTTCGACAGCAGTATTCTCTGCTATGCTTTGCAAAAGCATTTTGTTTACAAAATTTGGTGGTAAAAGTTGCCACGTTCATTTATTTGGATAGTCTCTGTGATAGGATACCCATTCTGAGAGACTATGGATCACGTTATTGTCTTTTCATTGTTCATCTGAGGTGAATTTGAATTAGTGACCACAGTGCAAGAGGCTCCATACTCCTTATCAGTCCTCTGAGATGGACTGCTTTTCCTGTTCTCATTTCTTTCTCAACAAAGAAATTTCTGTGTTTCTGCATATTTGCTTAATTTTAAGTGTCCAATGTTTACAGTGATTTTTAGCATTTCTTGATTCTTTCTAACTGGACTCTAAGCTGCAGGTGTGACTGAGAGATGACCTTTATGCGAGTGAGCCCTGTATAGAGCTCAGGAATCTATAAAGGAAGGAACGCCTGGCTGAATTGCACAGGAAAGCACCAGAATTCAGGACAGCAACACACTTCATTTGGGAAACAAATTCTATTTTTAAGTGGCCTAATTTTAATGTCCTACTTGTAAGCACAATTATTAGGAATAGCAACAGTTTCAGGGAAGAAGATACATTACTTGGTGTTTCTGCAGGTGGCACTTTGGAACTTAGGTGTTATGAATCTGCCCTTTTCTTTTCTAAAAACTGGTTTGTTCAGTTAATTTTTCTTCACCACTTGAGGATTAAAATAGCTATTTCATTAGTTAGATGTATGGTGAATGAAGTGTAAACAAAGCCAGGCCTGACGCCATCCCTCAGTGGTATTAGTTCTGCCACACCTTGTAGTTGTAAGAAACTAATCCTGATGCAAAGATGTTTCCAATTTAATTAATTTTGAGGAACCAGTGGAAAAAGATTATACCATACATCACTAATGCATATTTTATTGTTGAATGGAATAAATGCATCATATATGTACCAATACCTGTTAAAGTTACTCAAATACAGTAGATCACTGTTGTTTTTGTTAAAGACCATCAGCTCCAGTATCCAATCACACTGGAATTAAGCAGTTTGAAGGAGATCATAGTAAGATCACAAGCTTGTCTCTGGTGTCTTGAATGGTGCTCTTCATTGTTTTGTAGGAGAAAATAATAACATGTTTGTGGTGGTGTAACAATGTTTGAAACCACTCAGGAATCTGACTAAATATCTTCAGGTTGGGTCATGTCAGGACCATAATAGTGTGGCTAACCTATCTGGACAAATACTTGTCTCAGGTGTACTCCGTCATCAACAACCAGTTTTTGCTAGTGCTTTAAGTCTCCTCCAGAATAATTAAAATATGTGGTAAGCCTCAAAGTGTATTTCAGCAAGATATTAAATGACTGTAAATCATTTCAAACTACATTTTCTTTAAACCAATATTTTCTTTATAAAGTTGAAAGGCACTTAGAAAAGAAAATATCTTGCTCACATCTTTCCCCACAAGTAATATTTGTTCAGTACATACAGAGGAAGGAAAACTGAAATTATAGCACTTCCCACTAGGATACTATCATTCTCTGAGAATGAATTCTACCTGCTGTAACAGCAGTTTTATTTAATGGCACAGTAGCTGCGTCTACATGAGATGCTGACTGCTCAGTTGTTACTACACAGTCATTTAATACTTGTATAAACAAGTATATATGCAGTATAAATGAGTACTAAATGGCTACTAAATACTAACCAGAGTTACTATGCAGTAGCTTTGCCAAACAGGTTTTAGGTGATGCTGACTGCGCAATACTGTGCAGTCAGTGTCTCACATAGACGCAGTCAGCAGGTTTCACTTTAGTTTCATGTGTGATCTTTGTGTCATTTGAAGAATGGTCCCTCATTTCTGTAAGAACCTTCCACAACTTTCAAAGTAGAGAGATTAAACAAATATTTAATTTTGGCTGTGTCATCACTTTCCAGTCTAGATAATGCGTATAAATGAGAGTTGTCCTTTTACACCTGTAAAAGTAACAGAGGGAACTGTTTTTGCCCACACTAAAGATAGAGGAGGAAACTCCAACAGACTTCAGTGGAAGTAGGCTCAGTCTCAGTTTTAAGAAGGTAAATCCTTTCCCTCCAGAGATAGGCACACAGGCATATAGCATAAGAGAGCCAGCAGAGCTCCTGAATTAATGGATTAATGATTCTATTCTGATTGTGCTATATGCGGAGTATCAATGGAACTAAACAGAAGTGTGGTTGGTACTAGGTTGGAATGTGGGGACACAAGAAAACACTGAAACACGTGACTTTTCACTATAGCTGGTGGGGAAACTAATTTTCTCTCCACCAAAAAAATTAAAGATTTTGATTTCCCCCCCATTAATTGGGACAAATAGCAAACATGTATTGTTATAGTTGTTTGCAGATGACATTCTGAAAAAAATCCTTTAGGGTCAGTCAGAGCCTTTTGTTTGTGTTTTTACCTGTTATTTATATCAAATAAACCTCACAACAGACATTTCAAAATGGAGATATACAAATGTTTCCTTTTACACATGTCAGAAATGTGATGTGTTGATTTTTTAAAAAACATTTTTACTGAGTTTTTCAAAATAAATCTGTCAAAATGTAAAATACTTTGTGAAATATTTCACTTCAGTCCAATGGCATTATCTGAGGAAAACTGATTCAGCAAAACTGTTTCAGTTCATTCTTCTTGTTGTTTGCAAGGGGATAGTCTGATTTTGTAAATTTTAAAATGTGACTTTTGTTTTTATTTTTTGGTACTCCCACAGAAAGTGTTTATATTCTCTGGGTCATTTCGGAAAAACTTGGATCCTTATGGACAATGGACTGATGAAGAAATATGGAAAGTTGCAGATGAGGTAAAGCTATTCAATATTATTTGTGATGTTCATAAACACTATTTTAGTAATTCCACTGTGATCCAGGAAGTTACAGTAAGGGACTTGAGAACAATTTGGGTCAATAATTTAAAAAAATAATTGTTTATATTGAATCACGTCTGAAACATTATCCCTGTCCAGAAGAGTGTACAGTCTAAATAGGACACATGCAATATAAGCAGTTGTAGGTAACAAAGGCAGCTATGGGGCACTTCTGCTTGGTAATCATTAATAAGCAGTTACATACATTTTTAGGTTCTCATAACTGTTCTTTCACTGCCTGTCTGTTTGGAGAGTTATTAAGAAATATATATAATGGGTTTTCCTTCTTGCTCCTGAAGCAAACCCCTTAACAGCATCAGGCAAAGGCCTGCTATCAATATATGGACTTCATTTGAAGTTCTTTGCATTGAAGTGTTGTGTGCAGTTTATTGACATGTCAAGGTCATTCATATTCTGTATAAATTGGGGTTTCAGCATTGAATGGAAGGTGTATGGACACACATCAGATTCCAGTGACCACACACCCTGGAACAATAAGAACTGACCTTTTTGGCAAGCACGCCACAAATTAGTCCTGTGTCCTCCGTGAGTGTAATTCTGATCCCTTTCCCCTGCTTGATTTTCTACTCAGAAGGAGCTTTCTGCTCCTTGTCCAAGCTGCTGCTATGCTTTCTCCTTCCTGCCTGATCTGATGATCTGTTTTCTGTTGCCTGTCTGCCACAGTGCTGCCTGTCCCCTGCCCAGTCTGCTGCATGCCACACACACAGGCTGCCCATGCCACTTGTAGTACCTATGCTGCAGGTTGGCCGCCCCCACTGTAGAAAAGCAGGTGGCATGAATGTGTAAATTGTTTGTGCCCAAGGGCTTGGTCTTCAAAGATCAGTTCTAGTCCTGGGTATCTAAGTGGATCTGTGACTTTTCAACTACTTACGTTCTACAGCTTTCTTATTATAATCCAAGCCTCACTTGTTTTCCTCTCAGTCCTCTGAAATCCAGACACTCAAAGCAGTTCAGATTATTTATAGGTGTACCTGATAATGTGTACCTGATAATGTGTGACATTTGACTCAGCAAATATTAATAAAATGTAGCTCAAATGGTTGCATCATGTTACATTTATACAGTGCCTTGGAAACAAGAATGCTGAGGAAGGAGAGTATTTTGCCCATGCTTCTTTATTATCCAATAAAAAGATGCTTTTGGTAGAGGTCAGTAGAGGAAAATATTAATAAAATTTGCATAAAGCACAATCTGAGTGCTTTGATCTATGATTTAGCATAGGGGAAGTTTCAGGATGTGACTGCTGGATGACCCAGCACGAAACGCATAGAGGCAGTTAGTTTAGAGAATTAATTTCACATTTTATCCCTCTGAGGTTCGGCTGCTCATATCTTTATCATATCACAGAATCTTTAAAGGTAAACTGTAAATTGAAGTGAAAACCACAGTTAATACATGTCTAGTAGTATATCTAGCTACTTTGAGGACATCCAAGAGAGGAAACTGTAGATCATGTTCTTCAGAAATGTTTCCCAGTCATTGATATTCCCTGGCTCTTGTTAATGAACAAGAATTAACTCAGGCAGGCTACAGTGTTTTGTAACATCACGGTTATACTTACATGCCATCTATTTCACAGAAGGATGCATAGATGCATTCTGGGGTGGGATTAACAAACCATGGTGTCCCATGGATGTGGGTGTAGAGGGGAAAAATCAGTGGGATATTTTATTTAAGAAAATCCCAAGATATGGTGTCATGATTTACTCTTTTGTGGAGTGGCTGGAATGTTACCTTTTGGCTCTGGTAGCACTTGACACTTCTTTTACACAAATGATCAATTGGAAAATTGACGTTGGCTTTGATTCTCCCCTAAGAGAAGTCCAGCCCTTCCATGAGCTTTTTGATGAGATAATCAATACCACCTGCAGCCTCAAGGATGAACTTCTGCAGTTAACTTTCCAAGAGCCCCGTTTAACTCTTAGTCCCAATTGCATCCGATTGAGTCCCTAAATGTGCATCCAAGTTATAAACATGGGCCTTATTCCCAAAGTGCCCCAAATTCAAATGAATTTTCACCAAATTTGTCCCTGTCTCCCCTTGGGCTTCATTTTATTTCTAGAAAAATAGAAGTAAGCTTTCGCATGGCTGTAACTGTGCTGCCTGAGGGCCTTTCTGTATTGGTTCTGACACTGCAATGGACTGTAACCTGGAAAACAGGTCCTGCTCACTCACTGCTGCTTTGCACTCACCAAAGGCTGAAAAAATAATGTAGTCATCATTAGACTGGCACAGGGCCTTTTCCAATAAACATATGATGAGAGCCTGAGGATGCCGCAAAGAACAGCTCTATTTTGTTTTTTTCATCATTTGGCTTGTGCAGAGTGGGAGCAGGTGGACAAGGCATGTTTTTACAGGAGCAGTTTCTAGGACAGTTGGAAAGGGTATAGATGTACTCTAAATGACTGAAGGATTGGTACAGCTCGTTACAAACTGCTCTTCAGCAGCATATCCCTCCTCTACATCCTCCCTTCATCTTTGTAGCTTCTTCTCCATTTTCTGTAAACTTTGTTCAGTTGTTGCCTCGTTAAATTTTATTTTGAGGGAACTGGGAACTTCCTCTGTGAAATTTTAGTTTTGTTTAAAAAACAAATTTTCAGTTGATTAAAATTTGGCAGAAAATCTTCACCCAGCCCTAGCTGTCAGAAAACAGTGATTTACGCTCTGCTTGCCACGACTCTTAGACTGGGAAACTCATGGATCAGAGTGTCCACCCCAAACACAGAGTTGAATACTTATGTATTTGACTTAGAATTTTCCCTTTAGGTGTAAGCTACAGCTGAGGTTTTAAAGGCTTACTTACAACACTAAGAAGAAATACTGTTTTAAAGTCTGCATTGTTGAAGAGTCAGGCATGTCCTTTCAATAACATATTATGTTTTTCAGTTAATTGTTTTATATTCAAAAGTGTGAAAAAAACATCGGTGAGAAAAAGAAACTTTGCAATATGTTTAATGGGAAAGATTGAATGGGTTATGGACTTTATGCTCCCTTGAAATCTAAGTAATCAGAGAAAGCTATAAAGAGCTGGTATAACTTTGGAAGATGGCAAAAAGAAAGTTAATTTTTAGCTTGTTAAATATTCTGTTTCCTTCTAGCTTATGGTGTAGTGTTCAATGAAGGCATTTTGCAGCTACTGCTAAAGTCAGTATCACCATTTAATTTTCTTCCATCACAGCTGTGGTGTGAGTAAACTTGAATACTTGATTTTAGCACTGCCACAATACTTTAGAGAGCTGTGTGTTACAGCTTTGTACAGGCTCCCTAAGCTAAATTTTGCTCCCAGTCACACTTATGTCAATAGGACTGCAGAGGTTGTACCTCAGGGCAGTTTAGAGATTGTTTTAAAAGTAAACCGACTTTTCTGGGAGCTGTTCATGACATAATTGTATTAAAGGCATATTAAGTGATTAGCTGCAGAGAGAAGAACAAGCAGTGCCCTGTACTGAGGTAGCACTCCTGTTTAAAGAATACCAACCTGGAATTCTTCCAACCTTTACCACGTATCACTGAAGTATTCCATTGTAATAGAGTCCCTGTTTTAAAACGTGAAAAGGAAATGTGTAGGCAGGATTCCATATTTTTGATGCAGAGTGAAAATGGGTTACAAATAACAAATGGGATTTGAAAAACAAGTTTATGCCCTTTTTATGCCTTCTATCATCTTTATTGTAAGCTAAGTTGCTGCATATCGTAGCAACACAGGTGCATTACCAGTACCAGCTTGTACAACTCAGGAGAAGAGTTCTTGTCAGGGTTAGATGAGAATGATTATTCCCTCCAAATGCCATAGTAAGTTTGGTCATTCTGGGAAAGCATATGGATTCCAAAACATCTCATAAAGTAAGCAGAAACCTTTTCAGTTCCCCTTGAACTCTGTTTTGATGCAAAGTTGTTACAATCCAAAGACAACTCGTTTTACATTTGTACCTAGGTAAGTTTTCAGTGCCCAAGAGCAGATAGTGATATTATGAATCCTGCACAAATTGTAAAGAACTTGACGTATGTGCTGCTGTTCCCATCCTTCTGACAAAAGATAAAGTCTGTGGAAGTGGTCTCAAAGCCATGGATACAACTGCCATGGTGACTTATGTTATATTCTCTGCCAGTGTAATGCAGCATGTGAAATTTCCTCTTCCTGGTAACTGAGGAGTCAAGGTTTCTTTCAGAAACATCTCCCTTTAGCATTACAGACGATGCACAACACCACCAAATAGAAGTACCAAATAAATTACTTTCCTGTAAACTAACTGACAATGTATTGGTCAAGGTGCCAAAGCTCATTATGTCTGATAAACATACAGCTTTAACTTTGGTTTGTGCAATCTGTACTGAAATAAACCAAAATGTTCTTTCTGGATAAAAAGAGATTGATCTTTCTTGTCATTTGACTGTTTGTTGGAGTAACTCTGAAAGGAGGATTCTCATTTCAGCTGATTTGAGCAGAACACATTTTATATTGAGCCTTGGAAACAAAAGGCAGAAGGGTTAAATGTGGATTGTTGTATCTAAATGTTTGTAGTTCCAGTTTCTCTCAAATAGATTTATCCTTTAATTTTATTCTGGCAGGTTGGACTGAAGTCTGTAGTAGAGCAATTTCCTGGCCAGCTTGATTTTGTTCTTGTGGATGGTGGCAGTGTCCTCAGTCATGGGCACAAGCAATTGATGTGTCTTGCCAGATCAGTTCTCAGTAAAGCTAAAATCCTGCTGCTTGATGAACCAAGTGCTCATTTGGACCCCATGTAAGTTTTATTTATTCTTTCTATTTGTATATTGTGGTGTGAAATCAGGAAGCCCACACTGTCAGATCTGTGCTTCAGTGGCTATCCTGACAGGAGATCGCACACAAGGTGGACTACCTTGGATTCTGTCCTGGAGGGCATTGTGCTTCACAGCTATTGTTTCTCTCTTACCACCTCTTTGTTCCTGAAAAGTAGTGATTTACTGCTGACCTGTACTAATAGAAGATTTCTTCCTCTGTGTTGGCTCAAATTCTCTCACCAGAGGCAGAGTATGAGGATGGAAAGAGGAGCCAAATGTTGTGACTCTTATGCCCACCGTCTGTGCCCTGCTGCTCCAAAGAGAGAACAGACAGGCAAGGAGCTGCACATGCTCAAACTCAGCCAGACTCAAGGCCTGATTAGTCCCCCTTACATGGGTTCAAGTCACAGATGAGTTTTAATAAATAAAAATGGATGTACTTCCAAAATGCACTTCAAATGCCACACATAGGAGATCCTTACAGTGCCATCAAATCTGTGGCATTTGATTTTGGTGCAGGGCCACTGACCTAGGCCACAAAACAAGTCAGCATATAACTAGGGTAAAACTACCGCTTATTTTTAAATCTTGGTAGTGCTGTGCTCGTCCACTGGAGCATATTATTATCATCATCATTATTTTTACTCCTACTGCTATTGCAGAACCTGGAAGCCAGAGGCCCAGTAAACTCGAAGAGTATTATTCTGTAGTCTAATGAAGAGGGCATTTAATTGAGAGTGGGGAGATCCAGGTTTCAGTCTGTGTTCTGAACATGCTTAGTGTGCTTTATCCAGTGATGCTTTAATGCAGAATTTGTATGCAGTCAGTCCTGGAAGCAGGCATCAGAACCCAGGATTCCAACTTCTAGGGCAAATGTTCTGGACACCAGGCTTCCTATGATAGATGTCCACCACCATCTGCAGAAATGTTTTTGAGTTAAAATGTTTCTGGGTGATGAACTTGGGTACTGTCATTGTGTGTTAGGTACACCTGTTAGATCCTATCATATGTCAGATCTACCCTTGACATATGATAGGATCCTCAGTCAAGATAGTGGTGCCTCTGGGCATCTATAATAGTTGAACTTCAGGAATCTAAGAAGGTTTTCTGGTGAAAACATAGGCACCTAAAGAATTTTTGACACCTAAGATGTTAGTTAGGATTTCTTTGAATCATTCTATAGGACTTGGGTATCTAAATTCCACTTAAGCTTCTTCCTGAATCTCATTCTAAATTAAGGCAATAATCAACTATAGTAGTAAACAAGGAGTGATACAGTTATTCCAAGTAGACTCTCAACTCAATCATGAGCAAATGCTTTGGTTTGTATCCTAGTCCATTTACTAGACATCTAAGTGTTTGCAACCTCTTGGTTGATTAGGGCCTAGAATTCAGGTCACCTACTTCCACAGCAAATGCCCTAACTTCTATTGGCTATTTGGCATGTTAGCAACTCTTCTGGCACTTGGGCTGGCTGGATTATGCTCTGTCTTAGTCTTGGGGCTTATTTGTACCACATCAACGATGGTGCTCATGAGGGATGGAGTTGAATACACCTTGTCCACCCAAGTCTACTCAGCTGTTCCTGAGCTGGAAGTTTGCTCATGAGGCTACTCTGGATTTAGTCTTAGCAGTTTCTCTCAAACCTGTTAGGAAGTTAGGGTGTGAGAGTAGGTTCTGGAGACAAGTCTCATGGGTGATCTTTTGACTTTATAGCAGACTTTATTTGGTCAGGCAGGGTATGCTCAGGCCTGTCCAGCAAGACCCACCACTGTCTCCAAGCAGACAACTCCTAGATCAGTGATTCTCAACTAGGGTGCCACTGCACCCTGGGTTGCCTTGAGATCCATTCAAGGGTGTTGTGGGGTGCCATGCAATGTTAATACTAACACCTAACATGTTAAGTGTGCAGACATGATTAACAAGATACACCTACAGATTTCAAATAGAAATCCATAGTACTAAAAGCATTATGGCCTATGATGGTCTGAGTTCTTTGCTTTATAATTTTTCCATAGTCAAAACACGAGTGAAAACTAAGAACACTTTTTGAGGAGTCTCTTGACTTTAATGGGGGTGCCTCAACTCTAAAAAGTTGAGAACCACTGACCTCGATGCTTTAAAGTCCCCTACATGCCACTTATGTTCAATAGGATTGTGTTAAATGAAAAAGTTACGGAGACATAGCAGAAACGTGGACCTCTTTTGTGGGGGCTTCAAAAATATTTTGATTTGTTGGCCACCCTTATGAAGATTCAAGGAAAAAAGTAAAAGGAAACAAAATTCAAATATGACAGTAAAATTGGCTTGATGTGACCAGTTACCAGAGACTTGTCATAAAAATGATTTATTTGACTAATTAAAGTCAAGGCTGGCATAAGCTTTCTATATTCACTATGTAAAGGATCACTTCAAGAACTGCAAGGTTGAGAGAGAATATAAGGTAATTTTAAGCAATGAAAAAGTTCATTTAGGAGGGTCCCCATCAGTCTTGTCTTTGCTTTTCTATATACGCTTTACCTTAATTACCTGTTTTGGCATTTCGTTTGGCTTACTGTACTCTGATTCCAATTTTCCATTATACATACAGCTGTCCTGAGAGAATTTATTTGACATGGGAAAGTGGCAGCATAGTACAAATGATATTACAACAATCTCTCATCTTAGTTTAAAACAAATTAAGAGTGAAGAAAGGCTTTATCACTTTTGTTGAATATTAATACTAATCCAAAGGCTATTTAGATGGGCAGTTTCTCCATCAATGACATCAACTGCAGAGTTGCCAGTCTCATACTTTTACTGTGAGTGTTTTGGTTCCCAAAGCCCTAGGTCTTGGAGTACTGAAAGTATGTAGCAATTTCAACTTCTATTTAAAAAATAAAGAAAGTTTCTAGCTGTTGTAACTGAGGAGATAAGCCTGAAAATATGAATGGAAGCTTGAGAACCAGAAGACTGGGAATAACCCCCAGTAAGTTTATTTACTTACATGCTAAATTTCCATGTTTAAAAGTCAGTCTTATGAGTTGTGAGGTGCTGCTGCATAATTTATAAATATTGGCAGTGACAACACCACATCTACTGTCATAATGCGGTTCTCAAAAGTCTTTCTGAGCATGGCACTAGGAGATGGCAAGAGCTACTCTATTGTTAATCCAATGGTCAACACCAGAGGCTTACCTGCTGCCTTTGGCAATATCTGAACTATTTAAACTAATTTCTAGTTAAAACAGAGATGTGGGTGAAAATAGCATTACAACAGCGTTGTATAGCATAGCTTAGTGGAGAGATTGTACCTTGCTATAGGCAGTATAAAAAGGTGCCAATTAAGCTTAGTTGCAACATTTAATTTTACAGATGTAGTTTGTTGTAACAGAAATAATTGTGGTACTTTAAAGAAGCATAATTCTGCTTGTATATGTACATGCAATTGTCCTGTTTTGTAGTTTAAATACTAAAAATAATACACTTCATAAAAGGTGTAATTTGTATGTAATGGAATTTGTTTGCAATGCTCTAAATGACAACAATTGTTTACCTTTCAGAACCTTCCAAGTGATTAGGAAAATACTTAAACACGCATTTGCAAATTGCACTGTTATACTCTCTGAACACAGACTAGAAGCAATGTTGGAGTGCCAGCGATTTTTGGTGAGTGTTTCTGGTAATCTTACATAATATGATTTTCTTGTGATTGACACATGTGCTTTGCAAAGGATTTTTAACTAATCCTTTAATGGTAGGATTAGATAAGTCTACTGCATGTAGATCACTTGGAACACTGGTTGGCGGGATGTCCCAGAAAATGGACCTCACAGTGTGCATTACTGCAACAAAATCACGGATGTGTACATTTGTTTTTGATTAATCTAAGGTGACATGAAGGCAGAAGGGCAACTTAAAAATTGCTGTGAAAATATCCTGCCTACAACAGTTAAATTGTTGTGTTTCTTTCTAAAAAGAACCTTAACTTTCCTTTCTGTGTTCTATCTTTGTCTATCAATCACTTACTAAAGAAATTCTGGTGCTGTAGGTGTTTCTCATTACATAACTGGTAATTAACCCTCACAGAGTGAGAATATTTTAAGATGCCTTACTAGTGCATGGAGCTGGCATTCTTTAATCATTAGTCATTTTTAGTTCCACTTCTATACATTCAGGTAACAAAGGCATAATCTGAAACTGAAGTGGAATATTTAATAAATGATGCATGCCCTTTTGAACTACTGCTGTTGTCCTGTCTACTGAATTTATGGATTTATCTGCACACACTGTTATGGAGTCTGATTCATTTAAGGCCCTTTCTGTTTGTACGTTTTAATTAGCAAGTATTTTTTTAATGGAGTCCAGCTAATACCCCTAAAGCATTATTACATTCTTTACAAATGTTTGACAGTTCTGTAATTAAAAATTTAGAATGTCTGGAAGCAAGCTGTGAAGTCTTTCAGCCAATGTATTCCCCACCCAACATCAATCTCTTTCCTAACCTTCACGTTATTCCTTTCCATTGAATATATTTTCATTACAGAGCAAGTCTATATAACTGTGGGGAGGGAGATGGAGATGGAGAGGGGTAAGAAGGTAGGATATTGAGATTTGGACAAGTTTTAATCCACACTGAAAAGTTTAGGCTCAGATTTTTAAATCTAGAATTGTTTAAGACTTTTAAGTTTCAACATAACATGTGGTGCATGTCCCTACCATGCTCCAGCTGCTCTATGCATACTTCATTCCCTTATACCAAGAGTGGCCAACCTGCAGCTCTGGAGCCACATGTGGCTCTTTAGAAGTTAATATGCATCTCCTTGAATCTTTGCACAAGCACACGACATGATGTAATGGCAGTGGAATCTGGTTACCATGTGCTTGTGCAAAGACTCAAGAAGACGTATATTAACTTCTGAAGAGCCCCATGTGGCTCTGGAGTCACAGGTTGGCCACCCCTGCGTTATACCCATTTTTGTCTCACTTCTGTCAGTCCTTCTGTGCAAGACTCCGTGGCTAAGTACATACAGTCAAAAAGCCTGAGGCTGAATTGATTCAGTCTTCACAAATTAATCTAAGATGCATAGATTGAACCAATAAGCAAGTGAACAGACATTCACGTTGGATTCCAGAAATGCAACCACCTGCCTGCAGTAGCCCAGGCTAGAAGCTGGGAGGCTCTAGAGTTCACCTCCCTGTTTGGCTGGAGCGGACAACTTGGGCCAAAACTAGTCCACCCACCCTGCAGGGAGAAGAGGGTTCACGGAGGAGGTGTAAAGCATCCTGGGATGCTAGGAGACTATGAGTTAACTTGAATCTAGAGGGGATTTGGGACAGAAGTTCAATAAACTGATTTAACCTAAGTCAGTTAAGACTGATACTACATCCGTTCAAGTTTATCTTAAGCCAGTTTCAGCCATTTTGAAAGCAGTTTATGTGCACTGAACTTCTGTTGTGTTATAGATTTGAATCGGTTTCTGATCACTTATACTGGTTTATGTGTAATTTCTCTCCCTAGCCCATGCGTCCCTTCTTCCCTACCATAGCTAGCTCCGTGCTTATTCATAAAAAAAACACCTGCTCCTAGGACTAGATTCAAGTGGTTCAGGACACTAGATGCATTCCCACAGTGGGGTTGTCCCAGCCTTGTACTGTGGTTGCATGTCTTTAGGGTGACCATGCAGGGGCCTGTCTAAGTGGTCTTTTAGGAAGGGGTTAGGGATGTACTACTACTCTTTTTTTGGCAAGCTAGGCCTTCCCATCTTTAGACTAACATTTCCTATGACCTGGTAGGCTGGGGTCTTTCCCAGAGCAAGAAAGACTTGGTTTTCTTGGCTGTGTCTTCATAGGTGCCTCTTCTGATGCCAATCTGAGAGTCTGGCAGGAAGGACCTCACAGACAGCACATCTTGTTGGAAAGATATTAGCAGAACCTTAACATAGCACCTGGTTTCAGAATTAATACCCCATTGAAGTGAATGGAACTGCATGTGCCTCTGAATCCACTTGTCTCAGGTTCTCTGCAGACTTGGTTATTCCATTCTTGCTTGGTTTCCTTGTCACCAAGAGGACTCATAATCTTAGCAAAATGAAAGCACAGATTCTGATGTCGCTACAGGACTGCCAAGAGCCAGGGCTCTGAACATGTGTCTGCAGTGCCTGTTTCTCACTTTGTCCTGCTGCACAATCCAGTCTTTTGAACTGCTTCCATCCTTGGAAGTAGCATGAAACAGCTTGGTCTGAGTGGAGCTCAGGCTGCAGCTGTAGGAGACAGAAAGCCAGGACATTTTGCATTAAAGCGCTTATTGCTCCATACAGGTCATTTTCTACTGTGTCCTGACATAAAGGGGCTGTAATTTTCTTTAGCCAAGTCCAAAGTACTCCAGGAAACCAAACAAAAAACAAAACAGAAACCCTGCCCCCCCCCCAAACCCAAAGGCAAACATTCTTCAACACACAGATTCCCCTACATGGCATAGCAAGGGCAGTTCCTCCTTGCTGCTCTGAGTCTGAGGAGGAAAGGCCCTGCTCTTTGGTGCCTTTCTGACAGCCTTCCTGTTCCTTTCTTTTATGTCTGTACATTAATAATCCCCTTCCTTAATGTGAGTTTATAATCTGATGAAGCTACTTATGACTCTGCAACTTTCCCAGCAACTTCACTTCTAACCCTCTAGCTCTCACCAAAATACCAGAAGTGGCCTCTCAGCTGTACTAGCAAGTCAAAGCATATTCAGAGAGCTCAGCCAAGCCATCTCAGGGTGAAGAGGAGCCATAAGAAAAGGGTTTAGTGCATTTAAAAAAAAAAAAAAGCAATGGGTACATTTACTCAGCCATCATTTGAAAACTCTTTTGCTTGTTGGTAATAGGAAGTTAGCCAAAGCAATCTGAAATTTTGAACCATACAAATAGAACTCTTTTGGCTTTTTTCCTACTGTAATTCTCTGTCCTATCCGCATCTGCCATCCTGTTAGTGTACTGACTTAGTTAACTGGACTTTTATCAGCTCTGTTAATACACATCTGTTTGATCCAAATGTTTGTTTAGGTAATAGAAGACAATACAGTGAGGCAGTATGAGTCAATCCAGAAACTGCTGAATGAAAAGAGTTCCTTCAGACAGGTGATCAGTCATGTTGATCGCCTTAAACTCTTCCCTATACATCGCAGAAACTCAAGCAAGCGCAAATCTCGGCCCAAAATCACTGCTTTGCAAGAAGAGACAGAGGAGGAAGTACAAGAGACCAGACTGTGAGGAAGACTAGAAACACTTCTAAAAAAATTAAATATTGGGGAAATTGAAGTCGAGAAAAGTGAGACCAACGCTGCGGACACTGCAGGGGCAAGCCCATGATCAAATTTTCAGGAGGCATTAAACGGAGCTGTCTACAAGGGTATATGGAAACGGCTACCCTCCAAAGGTTAAATTGTGTGTGAGGCATTAAATACCCTTGAAGATTTACCACTTGCTGTGGTAAGCCATGCTTCCTTTGAAAAGCTGCTTTACTTTGGTACTCACTCAATGATGGGAAGAATTAGGAACCTGTTTGGATCAATATAGGAAAACTTTAAAAACCTTTATTCCCTGTGTTTCAGGGAAGGGGATGGGCACTGAAGAAAAAGGTGGCAGATGGGAATGTTAAAACATATCAGACTTGGGTACAAAACACTAACTGCAAAGTAGTAAACTGATTGTGGGGTTACTTCCTGAAAACAGGAGGAGAGAAAGTCAGCAGCAATGCACTTCAAATACTTCCTGTTCCTCATTTTTCATCTGATTACTGTATTTCAAAACCACAGAAAAGGCGAAATGCCCTTTCACAACAGTGCACAGCAAGCATGCATGAGATAATGAAGGAAAAGAGGATGTTTGCCTGTGAGTCAGTCAACATCCGTCAAGTCCCAGCAGTTAAAGAAAGATGATGAGAGGGGGAGTTAGTATTTCCTGTTGGAAGCCAGGAGAGTCTGGCCAAACCCTGCAAACCTTTATTCCTGGGCATATGAATATTAGCATAAGCAGCAGGACTCCTGCTCGTAGGCCAGTCTGTATGTTAGGTCAGGCACCTTGACATGCTTGTACTGTAGTTTGTATGAAAAGGAGAGGGAAAAAAAAAAGCAAACAAAAAAACAAAACAAAAACAAAAACTTTGCAGTAGACTTTAAGAATTACATCAGTTTTATACCCGTCTGTTTTGCTGTTTTATTATAAAGCTGAACTTTTCTCTAGAATATTTTATTTATTTTAATATTGTTGAAAACATTTATTAAAAGAGTGCTGTATTTTAAGAGTGATTATGCGCTACAAAAAATATATTTGTATAAAAAGCAGTTTTTATATTTGAGCTGTATTCTTTTTATCCCACCTGAAGATAGAACTGGAAAAAATTACCATGTCCTAAAGGCATGTCCAGTAGCATCCAAAAGCCACCTTTATTGGTGTGTGTGACTGCATTCTAGTGATACAGATGTGTTTGTTAGGTTTCTCTTTAAATAAAACCTCTCAACTCACACTGCCTATGTAACAAGCTGTAATAGGTGCAATCAGTAGAAGACACAGCAGAAATGTTGTTGCTCCTACTAAGTGAACACTGCCTACCATGACAGCATACATTTGATTTTTTTAAATTCTGTCTATTATCAAAGTAGACATTATGTAGTGTGTGCCAATAAAACTAAGATTTTGTGTACAATTCCATTGTCTCGATTTGTTTTTCTTTATTTAAATGTATATATTTCTCTAGAACAGTGATTCTCAGTTAGTGTGCTGCAGTAGCCTGGGGTGCTGTGAGATCCTTTTAAAGGTGCCACTGGGTGCCATGCAATATTAGCACTGTTACGTGTGGAAACATCTGTGCATCATTCACAAGATAGACCCAGACATCAAATAGGAATCCAGAGTGTCACAAACATTTCTGACCTGGGGTGATGTTTCTGAGCTCTTTGCAACATAAGAATTGCTGTATTATTTTTCCATAGTCAAAAAAGAAGCAAAAGCTAAGAGTTGGCATTTTCTGAGGGGCACCTCAAATCTAAAACAGGTTGTGAACCACTGCTCTAGAAACAGCATGGACTGTGGGGATTTTTTGCCTCCTTCTGCAGCAGAGTCTTCTTCCTTGGATATCTTGAGCGTATCATAACTACTACTTCCTGTCCTTGAAGTAGCAGGGCATTAGCAGTGCCCTCTTCCCCTCCTGTACCTGTGGCAAGTTAAGGTGGTGGGGGTTTTTTTGCTTGTTTTTGGTTTTGGATGGTTTGAGCATTGTCCCTAGTAGTTGTGAAAGATGGTTGTTCATGAAGATTTTAAGCATAAGTTAGACAGTCATTTGTCTAGGATGGCTTAAACAGGGATGATCCTGCCTTGAGCAGGCAATTGGACTTGATGCCTCCTGATGAGCCTTCTAACCAGTGCTATAACTTTCAGTGCTTTGAAAATGGAGATTGTTTCTCCGAGGAGTATACAAATCATTCCTGATTAATGAAAGTTATGTGAGCATCTACCTAGTAGACTAGAAACTCATTACAAAGTGTCCAGTTCTCACAAGCACATAATTCTGTTTTGTGAACTTCACTTGGAATAGCCAACTTTATGAGGATTTAGGGTGTTTTTGAACACACTCTTCAGTGTCACTAGATGGTGCTGGAGAGCAGCCATAAACTGGTTGATCAAAATGTGACCATTTATGCAGGTTTAGGGCTCTATTTGTGTTGTAGGAATCCTTCTTTCACATGTTAGCCTGTCATGGGTACAGCTCTTTAAGCCTTTATGTTAACATAAAAATAAGTGAATTGAGGTGCAATTTAGATATAGAAGAGTTAAGGGAGATCTGGAAAGAACCTTTCTAAGGGGAGTGTTAGCAGCTAGCTGGCAGCCCCAGCTGAATTGCATTCAGAGGCTACAGATCATCCTTAGCCAGTCAACCTCCCTCTACCCCAGCCATAAAACTTCCCAATGCCACAGTTTTGAAAAGTGAATTCAAATTTAATTTCATTCTCATAATACCCCACTGTAAATGAAGCAACATACGCACTGCCAGGGCCAAGCTTTTGGGGCCGTTTGGAGCTCTGCTGATCAGGTCTGCCTAGGGAAGATGGTTTAATACTTGGGCTCTCTCCAGGCCCATTCCTGCTTTTCCCTCACCCTGTTTCTCTTCCTCTTCAGGCTCCTTATCAATTTGCTCCTTGCTTTTCTGTCTTCCCTTGCTCTGCAACTCTGCCCTTTCCTCATCTCTGTCTCTTCCTGCTCCTTACCCTGTCTTGCTCTCCATTCCATTTGAATCTCCCCCTGCTTCTCTCTACTCACAATTACAAATGCCAAGTGTCTGCAGAGAGCTGTGTGCACTGTGCTGGTTCAGTTCTGCTGGTACAGCACTTGTGCCCCCCAGGGCCCTCTCTTGTGGTTTGACCTTTTAGATTTTAGTTTAAATTAGGTAAATTAAAGCAAGGGCTTTAATTTATAAGAAATCATCTGATTAATGATAGGCTAGCAGATGGTGGGGAAGAATTACATCTTCACTGGTTTGTAATAACTGAAAACTAAGGCCCAGCTCCAGCTTATCTCTAGGTGGGTAAATAGCACTTAGGTGTCTAACTTCAGATGCATTATCAGAGTTGTTGGATCACTTATCCTCCTTCCTCCATACAACTTGCCTTGGTCTTCTGCTCAGGAGGCCCTGCAACAGCCACCTACAACAAGTAGTACAAGATTTTGGGGAACGCATAGCTTTTCACACAGGTAAGCATATTTTCCAAGTCGCCTCTAGATCAGCCAGTATTTATGAAGGCTTCTGTCCTGCTAGTCCCATGTGCCTGGGTTTTATAATGCTTTTTCTAATGCTGGCTGGGTTAAGGGCATTGCCCTTCTTCACCAACTTAGGTGTGCACCTCTGTATTCTTGCCTGACACTAGCATGACTGAGGAAAAAAAACAGCTTCCAACTGATGATCACCTGGATAAGAAAGGCCACTGGGATTCAGTATATTAGGCTTACCTCTGTCGAGGCATGTGTAGCTTTTCTTTCTATTGTAGCTAAAGTTAAAAGGGCTGGAATGGAGTTAATGAACACTTCAGTCTAATTTGAAAGTAATTTAAGTAGGTGTGGCAGGGAAGGAAAATGGGGGCCTAGCTGAAGATACCACCTCCACACCCAGCACCTTCAGGATCATCACTGGACAGGAAAGACTTCCCTTCTGGGGCCCTGGACCACTTCCAGGCATATGACCTTTGGGAAAGAAACTACCAGAAAGAGGCAGCTAGGGACTGAAGCTGACAGAGCAGCAGTCAAAGCTGTTCAAGCAGTGAGTAATGGTCACGGATGATGTCACTCAGCTGCTTGCTGTGGTTTGTTTTTTTTGGTTTGGACAGTCTCAAACACTGTGCTAATTATGTGCTGGCCCCAACCACTCCTTAACCTCAATTTTTCAGCACTACTCCACCTGCTTCCCACACTGCCGGCCTCCTTTTTCTTCCAGTCTGATCAATCCCTTCTGCACTATCTTTCACTTACTTGCATGGGTTCCAGCTCTTTGTCCTACTGGTGTGCTGCATAATTTGGTATAACAGTAAAGGGCAATGCAATTGCCCAGGTTTTAGCCCAGTGATTAGGATACTTGTCCAGGGAGTGGGAGAGCCAGATAGTATACTCTCCTTGGCAAGAGAACTTGAAACCTACCTTCTACTTTCCAAAAAAATTCCCTAACCAGGGGTCCTGCATTCCTGATCCCAGTGGTGCTTTGGCTTTGTGCATTTAACACACTGGATAAAATGGGTAGACAGCAACATACTAGCTTCTGACAACCGAGATACCCTACTTACTTAGTGCCCCTCTCACAGAGCAATGTCTCCTTCAGTTTTTGTTTCCACCCATCTTGATTACCCAGTGAGTTAGGAAGACTAGAGAGAGCTGTGGGCAGAGGCTAGTTTAAGGGGTGGTGGTTATGGTACCTTTGTTAGAGAGTGGGAGTTGTGGGTTCAAATTCTCTGGGTGAGGGGACCTAAGCCATACATCCCCCACTCCTAGACATAGGCAGGCTGGCTCTCCTCTTCCTCCACTTGCACTTCATTTGTGACTAGCATATCAGGGATTTCACATGCCCACCCAGGGGGAAGAAGCTTAGAGCAGGAGAAAGAAAATAAGAGAAAAATAAACCGCAAAATTCAAAGAGGCAAAAAAAAAAAAAAAAAAAAATCATAAGAAAATAATAGGGCAAGATTACAAACAAGTTTAGTGTTACACGCGAGTTTGATTGCAAAGTCTGTTGGGTAGGAGCCAGCATGATGTGGACCATAGAATCTGACCACAGCAGAACTGCAAAAATGCCTTGAAGGGGGAGGAGGAGGAGGGCTGTTTGCCTGTGTAGCAGCAAAGACCTTTGAGAGCACTAGAAACCTACAGGGGAAGAGCTGCCCTAAGGACATAGCATGCACTACTTACCAACTTTAAGAAATCTTCACATACTGCACAATTAGATCAAAGCTTCTATACTCATTATTATACATGTAACCCAGGCAGTACTCCAAGAGGTACCCCCTCTCCAATTGAAGGGATCAAAGCAGGTGCACAAGCGCTGTGGGAGGTGTAGGGACTCTCCTCCCCCTATAGAGCAGAGCCAGACCACCAATGGGGACTTAACCATATACCTTTTAATCCTGGGAACATAACAGGCATAAATCAGAGGGTATAGCAGACACTACAATGCCCCAAGGGGGCAGGATTCAACAAAGGTTAGACACTTACAATCACTGACAAAACAGGGTTAACAAAATATAAAACAGCAGAGCAAACAATACGGGTTGGTGAAATATAAAAAGGCACAAAATACAAAATGTCAAATGACAAGGAAATATAGGGCCTAGGTACCTGGAGGAGGAGAAAGGGGGGAAAACACAGTAACACCTTTCCACTGCAAGAAGATTTGATTCTTGTTATCTCACTCACCCCAGCTTGGACTTGAACTCAGATCTCCATGTGGTAGGCAGAAATGTTGCTACACTGGAACCTTCCCAGAGCTCTGGCCTCATGTCAAACTACCTGGCCTCGGATTGGAAAAGCTGGAAGCAGAGCTGGGAACCTCTCAGGTTGCTGCTCAGATCCTTGCTGGAGTGGGGAA